AATGCCTATGACGGAAACCTGTTTCTTGAGTGATACGAAACCAGCTCTTCGATCGCGACAAAGAAGGCGGGAGCATGAATGGGATGCTAAGGCAAGACCCAAGCGGGACGAAGGACTCAAAGGAGACATCCATCGGCACGTTTCAAGTCCCGGCACGAACTGTAGATGCTTCTGATGAATTGGGGAGCCAAATCGTCTTCCATATCTATGCTCTCAGCGAATCTTGTTCCACCTCTGGGGTGGCACACAGTCACTATCGAATTTCAGATTCTGCCGGGTACCACGACAACACGAGGGCCGGGTTGATTCACGAGGCGTTGAATGTGGCTTCAGTGAGACGAGTCGTTTCGGCGGAGACCCCTATTCGGAAGGCGTGGTATTCTCAAACACCAAATCCGGAACCCTTCCAGGGTTTTCGGTGTCCTCTTGTCTTTTTTAGTGCCCAAATTCGTCCGTTTCCATCATGAATTTTCGACCGCCATGATTGCCCGCCTCGTTATTGAACTCCTCATTGACAGTACAGCCGTGTGATCAGTGTCTTATCGTGGATGAGGTGGAGTATAGTGTGACGAGGATGCGCTGAATGGGCTCATCTGGATCGTGACGACAGAACTCACTCACCTTCGAAAAGTCACACTGTACAATATAGTACAGTACAGTATGAACAATCAAGCATGCGTCATCATCCAGATTTGTTTAAGGCTTTACTTTCCAAACGAGTTAAACTCAAGACCAGGCCAAATGAAGGTGGCTTTTCGTCGCGACATCGAAGAGCAGCCGCTAACGGCTCCGGCTGCAAGATACCGGCATAGAATACCAGCTCCTGGTGCTGATCGCGCACTTGAAAAGACTCACGTCTGACGCGGCATCTCTTTTACAAATGATGAGGAAACAAACCTCAATACATATGTCTGACGTCTCTCCAAGCCAGTATAATGTTGAACGCCATCGCGCCACAAAAGAAGCAATGCTGGAAGCACGGATCAAGCGACAAGCAGCGAGAACGCCAGAATACCAAGCCCAAGTCGCCAAGGCGGAAGGTAATCTTCAGTTGATCAACATGATTCTAATGAGCTTCTCGGCTGAGCAAAACGCCTGTGTTGATCAGCGGGTGAGCCTCAACCAGCATCAGCATAGGACGCAAGAGGCTCTACGAACGGTGATCTACGACATGACATAGGAAGAGATCAGCCAGATCTTCGATCTTTCCACTCGTTATCGAGAGCAGGGCACTGCTGAATTCAGTCGTTGTTCTAGACCATGGAAATCAGGTTGCTGAAGTGCTTCCAGCCCAAAGACGGGATTACC